GTAATGTACCAATCAGTGTAAGGGTGTGGCTAAACTGCAGAAGGACCTTTATTTTTACTTTTTACATGTGACTTCATGAGAATAAGAATGAAACAAATTCAAACGATTGACATTTGAATATGTTTTTATTTTACAATTTTTGAAGAATAATAGATTGATTTTGCATAATATTTTCATTATTTTTAGATTGTTTGTTTTCATATTAAATAAGTAGTATGGCTCCGTTTACCTTTACTCTTTTTGCTCCCTACAATAACCAAGCAGCATTACGAGTTTGTTTCGTATTATATTTTATTTATATTAATATTTTTTTTTTCTCAGTTAAAAAATACAAATGTTCGAATGTTTGGTATTGACATTCGTAAGAAAATTTATTATAGAGACTTAATTTGTATTAATTTGTCTAAATATTAGTTATGGAAAAAGATGAAACCGATGGTTATTTTCGAGCAACTGTAGATTTAGCCGATGGAATTTTTCATTATCAATTTAAAGGTAAACGAAGATATTTTTGTTTGATAGAAAAAGTCAAGAACCTAAGTATTTTGTATAAATAGTTCAAACAAAATCATGGTTTGAACAAGAACCCGAACCTGCATTACCAAATTACGATGATGATGAATTCAAAGAATTAAGTAAGAATTAATTTTTATTTTTTCATATAAATAAAAATCCTATTGGTTATGTATGTTATTATCGTTGTCGAATTTTGTAACTTTTGTTTTTTTTTTGTGTATGATATCTTTTATATTCAGATGTATTTTATATACATTATAGGAATAATAATATAGATCTTGTTGCTTTTGTTTTTAGCACAGGAAGAAAAACAAGAAAAAACTGAAACTTATAATAAACTTATTGAAGAAATTCGAAAACGAAATCGAGAGCGTGAACATGAAGCAACATTTACAGAAATTTGGTATACTTTTGTTGATCCATATGCAACTGATGTTGATGAACGTGGAAGTGGTAAATAATGTTTTATTTTATGAGAAGTTCCGAAAGTCGATTTCGTCAGATTTTAAATGTAATTTCTGCAGAAAGTGTTCATATGATTCAAATCGGGACAAAAAAAAAATGTCGGTAGTTTGATACTTAAACGATCGGTTATCTTCTAGTCGTCATTCTACCGCCGTATACCGATGTTGTTCTCCGACCGGGAATCTACTGCCGGCATATCGTTAGTACTTATAAGCATAGGCTGGCCACCAGAAAGCAGTCGGTGGCCATTGCCACACCTAAAAAGAGGCTTATCGGCAGTATAACAAAAGTCCCGCCAATATTTATAAGTACTGTGGTATACCGATGGTAGTGTAAATAAGCATGTAATATGATGTTCATATCATTTTTCTGCTGTTCGAAAAAAAAATTAGATAACCGTAGCAATTTATCATTGTTAACATTTCATCTATAGTCAATATTTGGGATAAAATTGAATAATAATAACGGATATAGTTTAAACGAGAAAAATGTATTTTATTGTAGCAAGAGACAAGACTACATATATATATATATCAATAGTAGAATTTTTAATGGATTAGAATAAGAAATGAAATAAATGTCTTCTTTTTCATTTTGTTTCGCTCTAAAAAATGTTTGATACGTTTGGAAACATTGAAATAGATTCTTTATCATTTAATTTTGTTATTTTCAAGCTAACGAAAGAAAATAATATTATTTATAATTGATAATGCGTAAATTAGATTTTCACTAATAGATTATTAACCACATTGCTGATAGTTCTCGTCTGGCAACTGTTGAACTACATAGAGAGATTTAAATATCTTATTTTCTCATTCGACCTCAGAAAGATTGATGATTATATGCAGTAGATAAAATCTTCTGGTTCCCAAATTAGTCATTAGTTTCCAGGGCATTTATTTTATTCGTTGCTCTGATGTGTAGAGATCTATGAATTTATGTAAATTAATCAAAGATCTACAAATTTTAAATTATTTATATGAACTCAATTTAGATGATGCACATAAAGCTGTCGGTGTATTGGTAGTAAAAAATGGCAAACGTCTTATCGGTATATATATATATATTCGAATTTATAGTGTCGGACATAAGTTTAGAGCAGTTGTATTTTTGAGTTTTCTATCGGGATTTGTGGACTTAAAAACTCTAATAAAACTGCTTGGGTAAAGATGTCTAGAAAACTAAGACCCTCCAAAAATCAGTTTTCTGTCATCTATTTGAAGCTTTTTAGAAATGATTTTATTTGATAGAATAAAATGAGATATGTCCGTTCCCTTTATCGAACTGCATTTAATTTATAGAAGGTCCAAAAGTGTCAAACACAGCAAAATTATTGAAATTTGTAAGAAAAATACTTCTTGAACTATGCAGTTTGGTGAAGAGACCGGACATATCTCATTTTGTTCTATCAAATAAAATTATTTCTAAAAAGCTTCAAATGGATGACAGAAAATTGGTCTCGGGAGGGTGTTGGTTTTCTAGACATCCTCATCCAAGCAGTTTGATTGAAGTTTTTAAGTCTACAAATCCCGATAGAAAACTCAAAAATACAATTGCTCTAAACTTCTGTCCGTCACTATACTTTCTAATTTTTTTCGAGTAAATAAAATGGATATTTTGTGTTAGATGAATATGTATGGAAATATGATGATTGTGCACTACCGAGTGATGAACAACTTATTATATATGAATTACATGTTGGTGATTTTTCTGGTGGTCTAGATGATCCAAATGGTCGTGGTGCATTTAAAAATGTAACAAAGAAAATTGATTATTTAAAAGAATTGGGTGTTACCGCAAGTATGTGATTTTCTTTTTTATATTTTATGAAATTGATCGAATCTATTGGTTTTTTTAATTTAGTTGAACTTATGCCAATCAAAGAATATCCTGGTAAAGAAATTTATTTAAATAAATAAAGAATTTATTATGATTTTTTTTTCCGTTTCATAGGAAATCATTCTTGGTAAGCATAATTTTCTAATTTCTATCATTAATTATTATTATTATTATTTTAGGGGGTATGTATTCGTTCTCTATGATTTATACATGTATATTTAAATAAATACAATGTAGTTATAATCCACGATATCATTTTGCTATTGAAACAAGTTATGGTCCAACAACTGATTTAAAAGAAATGATTGATGAAATGCATAAAAATGGTATTCGTGTTATTTTGGATGGTGTAAGTAAATGCATCTATATTCCTATTGATCATTTTTATGTAAGATTATCCTTTTTTTATTATATATTTAGGTATATAATCATTGTGATGGTTCTGCACCATTAACACAAGTTGATCATGATTATTGGTTTCATCATCATCCAAAAGATCTAGCTAGTAGGAAGTTTAGGTTTTGTGCTGTTCTTATAATAAGTGTAAAAATAATGAAGGTTTCGAGTCACTCAAAAATGTTTTTTTAACAGATAACAAAGTAAAGGTTAGATTTGAAGTCGAATTATGAAAATTAGTCTTCAGGCTCAGTTTCATCAACTTACATGGCTCAAGTCAGTGAACACCTCCAGCTCGAATGAGTTGAACTTGATAATCAGTCCTTTTTCATATCATCTAAAACTGATGACCAAGTCTTTTGGTTATGGTTGGAGTGAGAGTAAAGTCAGGTGCTTATTCTTTATAACATAAATTTAAACATTTCAACTTCTATCTCATTTAGCGTCTACAATAAATATATGTTTTTATATTAAAATTTTCTTTATTTTTTTTTAGTGTCATGGGGACCTGAATGGAATTACAGTATGTAAATTTGTTAAATAAAAACAAAAAAGATCATTTTTTGTTCTATTGATTAGATTTTTATGATTCTAAGTATAACGTTTGGCCAGCTCGAAAATTTGTTGGTGATTCAATTCGTTATATGGTAGAAGAATTTCATATTGATGGTATTCGTTTTGATGCTGCTCGACAAATACAAAATTTTGATTTTCTTCATTGGGTTGTTAATGAAGCTAAAAGAGCAGCTGGACCTAAACCATTTTATTGCGTTGCAGAATTTTTACCTGATGAACCTTGTGTAACAAATATTGATGGTCCTATGGATGGATGTAATATTCATATTAAAAAAATTTGATTTCTGTTTTTTTTCTTCTAATTAAAAAAAAACAAAACAAAATAATTATTTTTTTTAGGTTGGCATGATAGTCTCTATTGGACGTTACGTGATATATTACTTAATGATAATGTTGATATTGGTCGATTAAAAACTTGTATTGATTGTCGACAACAAGGATATTTAGGTGTAACAAATGTTGTCAATTATATTGGAAATCATGATCATGATCGTATGCTGGTTGAATTAGGTAAAGAACGAAATATTTTTGGTGAAGAAGCATTTAAACGTGTACGTCTTGGTGTTGTTTTACAAATGACAAGTATTGGTCTTCCAATGATTTGGATGGGAGAAGAAATTGGAGAGTATGGTTTATTCATATTTAAATGAAAAGAAAAGAATATTTTTCTTTAGATATAAAGAAAAAACAATTGGTATTGCTAAAATAGATTGGTCATTAATTACTGATCGTGAAGATAATAGTAATCAAATAAATAAAGCATTATTAAGTTTCTATTGTGGTATAACTGGTTTACGTGCAAATAATAAAGCATTCTTTACAACAAATCTTGATTTTATTCATGAAGATCATAATTCTAAATTATTAGCTTATCAACGATGGTAATTCAAAGTTTATATTAATTAATTGTTTGTGTTTTGTTCTTTAGGGCTGATTCAGGTGAACGTATTGTTGTTATTGCTAATTTATCAGGACATTTTCTCGGTAAGTATATTTACACAATATTAATTTTCATTGATTCAATAATAAAAAAAACGAATTTTTTTTTGTTTCAAATAGCTCACTATTGTGTGCCAAATATTCCAGCGAATGGTTGGTGGCATGAATGGACATTTAATTATGATGTTAAAGTTGAGAATAATGAAGTATATCTTGATATAGCTGAACATGAAGCAAAAATTCTTGTTTGGCTTGGTGATGATTGGCAACCGCCAAATCATCCATCAGAACCAGTAGTTGAATCAAATGACATTTCTCAAGAAAAACAACAGACAGATTCGTCGTTAAATCAAAATTCTGAATTGACTCAGTCCGAAAATCGTTCACAGTAACAAATTCACTCGACATTATATGACTTATTTTTGTCCCGAGTAATTTGTTCTAACCTTTTCTTTCCGTGTAAACTGTATCTTCAATTACCTTTGACAAATGATAAAAATTTTTATTTGTCATAATTCTTCTGTAATTGTCTATTATTTTCATATTCAATTTATTCGTGTGTGTTCCATTATGTAACATGTCTATTTTCTTTCTCAAAGTTGAATAGTCATGAATGAAATAGATTTCACTAAAAAGAAGTTCTTTCAAAAAGCAAAATAAATATGATATCAATCCACAATATGATTTGTATGTATATCACAGACGTGCACCACGCGTAGGAGTGGAGGCGATCGCGCCTTAATTATATTAGCTGTTAAGCTCTGTTGCAAGAAAGTTTTCAAAAAGAATGCACATTAAACGCTAAAAGACTAAGAGAAGAGATTTAATCGTTGATAGACTCATTCTTTATGAGATACTGTTTGTTTTATTACTCCATTTCGTACTAATTTGTTAAATTTATAACTGAAATCGAGATCAATGTTAATCACAAGTCATCTTGTTAATAAATCAACCTAACCTAAAACTTTATGAATTTCATTGTGACAAGTACAATATTTCCATTCATGTTAAGCTTAAATTTGTACAAATTTAACGAGAAAATAAATTAAGATGAAAACGAACACCCTATAAGTATACACACAGTGGTGCTCAAGACTGATCGTATATTTAATAGATCATTTTGTTTTCTGATATCTTTAAGCAAAGTTCAAGGTATTCGGATATGATTTTCAACAAAATGTAACCTATGCTTCATAGTTTATTTCCGCCAAGTATCAGCTGCTCCCTTACGATTTGAAAAAGAAAAATATATTAAAAAATTGTTGTTATTGTAAAAGCCAGAAAAACTTCGTCGAAACACTGTACAAAATGCTTTTTTCTGCTCAAGATCACAAAATGCACAGTTTTTTATTATGTAATATACGTCGATTTTTGTATGAAGTGTGCGATCAATTTTGAGCATCACTTTTTGTACGATTACGTCTTCGCTAAAAAAATATTATTTCGCAATAGTTTCAACTTTATGTTGCTCTTCTAACATAAGTGTTCAGAAATAAAACACTGCTTATAAGAAATATAATAGAGTAACAAATATGAGGATAAAGTTGACGAAAAACATTTTTTCCAGTTACCGTTAAGTACGGGCACGCCGCTCAGCGAAAAGACTTTAGAACGGTGGCCGCCTCCGTCTCATTTTTTAGGTGTGCTATACATCTCTGATGCGTGTTTTATAGGTTGTTGTTCATTTTTTTTGCTAAAATATTCATTTTTCCTATCATTGGTGATAAGAAGAAAAAATACAAGAAAGAACATATTTAAAAAATTAAACAAAATTTTTTTTAATTTTCATTTTAATAAAAGCATTACAATGTTGAATAGAAATTAAGATTTCAATCCTATTTGAATATTTAATAGAGAATTTAGTGGTCAACATGTGCTTCGCCGACATTTGGCAATTTGCATTTTCGCGAACTATTATTTTAGCAATTTTCATTTCGATGATGAAGTACACAACCATTCATAAGAATGACTTTCTGTTAAGATATTGATCTTATTACAACTGTATTATTCATAGAATAAATGTTTGATTGACAAGAAAAGACGATCTCACTTAAAGTTACTATTCTTCAGCACCCATCAGTTCGAATTTTACTCAATATGTTTCGAATTTAGATAATTAACTACTCAGATAATATAATTTTGCATGCATATCATAAATGCTGTACACTATTAGTTTCCTTCTGAGTTTCTGTTAGATAGAATCATATTACAGATGATGTTAAAATACTTGATAAGTTAAACCTAACATTCCATATCACTTAAAATCATTGTTTCTTCTTTGATGTTTTACTGTACTATTTTGAACATGGAAAGAACAATGAGGAATGCAAAAGAAAAGATACGACTGACTAATATATCTATCATGGTTGCGGATGATTAACATCTACATCTCTGTTTGACCATTTATTTGCATTATATTTAAGTTTTTATTTCTCTCAAATATTGCAATTAGCTGTATGCCATATGATCTATATCAGTGCATCGATTCTGCATAGATATTAGGATGGATATAAATGATTTATTTTCTCTCTGTTTGAACTTTAACCTTATTGATATCTGCCGTTATCCAAATATTTTATGTTCTCATTTCGAATAAAAAGGAAATTAGTGTGACTGAACAGACGACTCATACCATCATCGATATTTATCTGAGAAAACTTTTTTGTTATTTCAAAAATGTTTTCATGCATTTTCTGTACAGAGTATTTCCTACTAAAAAAAAATATTTAGAGATAATTGACCTTAAACCTACGAAAATAATATGATTTTTATCGTACTATGTGAAAGCTAATGATGACATTAGCGAAATTTTATCAAATATACATTTTACTCCCACCTGTTTGAAATCCCAGAGCACAATTAGAAAAATATTCTTGTTTTTGTTCGAACTTTTTTTTTCATTCAGGCTCTCTTACATCTCATGATGCTTAACTGCATAGTATTGCTGTTCCTCATCATAGTGGGGAAATCGGAGAGTACCACTACGCAGTCATTTTATATAGTAAATACGACTGCGAGGTATCCAATATACACAAATCACACTAATTATTTAACCAATACATCAACAACTTGGTACCAATTGCGTTCAAGTACCCCTAACTACCCTACACAATCCTCTACACTGTCATATCCATGGTACACTGATTATGAAACTTCTACATCGACAGCTTGGTACCAGTTGCATTCAAGT